ATAATTAACATTGGAATATCAACTGGACACTGGTACAGTGTGATATACAAATTTGCTTGCCCAACAGAAAAAAAACACTAGACTCGGGCGTTGGGCAATGGGTTATTTCCACCCCTGATGCTGATATACAGCAATACAATTTTCATATAAAACATAGCATGATATATTAGACTATTTTTGTCTGTGCTCGGGTATCTTCAGTAAATAAATATCACAAGTTTAATTATCATTTGTAGCATTTAACCCAAATTCTACAGGGAAGTTCAGTAACAAATAATGTTTCTGTTTGATTTAGATGGAAAAAATGACAGAAGTGACAATGCTCTAATCTGGTTAAGTCCCCTATAATCCATGACAACAAAACTGGGTCACCTAACTGAGTGGACCTTGACACTGTAAATTGTAATAATTCCTATTCGGTCTGTAACATATTAGTGATCACTGAACCCATGGATGTTCCACAACTTCATAGTTTATTCGTGCTCCATCTTGATTGGTTAATCAATTATGTGACAATTTAGTTACCCAAATATCAAACTATGTATGCAAGTACACAACTGTGAAGGCCGACAATGTAAGCTCACTGTCAGCATGGGATGGTTTCCTGCTTCCTGACAGAAATCAGAGTTTCGCTTGATTCACGGTTAAAAAAACATCTGCCCTGCAAAGTGGTAAATACAAGCACAGGTAGTGCAGGTCATAGTGAAGTAGTGAAGACGTGAAGTTCTGATGAATGGATTCATCAATTCATAGTCCAATCAAACTCCTATAACGAAATCAACGTTCGTAAACAATAGGGCTACTGACAGTCTGTGCTTATGAACATTTCCCAAATCTTTTCATGTTCTTTTATCAAGGTGCTCAAGTGATTTGCTGTATTTTACAATAAAATCTTTTTCGATCATATATCCCCTACTCTGTGAACAAAATGTGATATGAGAGGTGGATTGGTCACTAGTCAGGACATAAAGGGACACAATTTGCAATACTGGTGCTACGATCAAGTCACAAACTTCCAGTCTAGCTCAGCAGGGAATGTAACAGTCAGTCCCTTGTCTAGGGAAGATGAGGATTCCAATTCTGCCCCAATGCAGCTGACACAGAGAAGCTCATCATATACCAGACACAGCCCCCCACTACTTGTACGTTTCCTGCTAGTGACAGCTTTACAACTTCCACTACGTTGCAGCCAGCTAAGAGTGACAAACCACCATATCATGACAGCACTGCTTCTCAAGAATCAGTTACACGTTGAGATCAAGCATAGCCCAAACAAGACAATGGTGAGAAGAAATGTCGTCAATGTTAGAAGCACAGCTGTACACCATGATCCAGGGCTTGTTCCTCATTTGGGTACAAACATATTCCAGTAATGTTCTTCAGCTGATACCATGCGAGCTGAGATTTACACCTGGGATGTAGGTTTACATGGCATGAGCAACAAATTCTTAACAACATACATTGATATGCTCTATGTGAACCTCTAGGCCCGATATCCAGAAAACCACATCTATAATGCATTATGGTATGAAGTGTAATATGTATTGCACTACTTTCTCTTGTTCCCTTCATTATATATTTTCTATTAACATCAACTCTACACTGAAATTCATTCACAAAGATGTTTTTCATCGAATTTTAACAACGAAAGATTCAGAAATGTGGAAATCAAGTCATTCTTATGTCATTAATGTAAACCCATGACTCGAGGTAACATTTTCCCAGGTAATATGGCCATTTTAACACTCATCTGACCACTACTATACAACGTGTAAACTTATTAAAACTGAAGCTATATGAAAGCTGCGTGTAAATAATCAAGTCTGCACCAGACAATCCAGATTTTGACACCGTGAGCATCGAATGATCGATACAGAACAATTTGGAGACGATGACATGCAACAACAACACTTCAACATCAGTAAAGATGTCACACAAAGTAGTCACTAAGCCTAATCCCAATCGATTCAGTGGTTTCTACACATGGTGCAACATAGCCATTTGTCCAAGTAGCTGTGGAAGTGTGGGTAGTAAAATTTTAGGCTGGCTGAACATTGTTAAATGTCCCTGCCCTGGTCAACTCGAAATTCTAGCAAACCTGTAAATTCATTAACAAATGATTAAAGCACAGGCGTCTTCCTGTTTCTGTAGAGCATCAACTATCAAAAACATCCCATTCACTTATCAAACAACCCATGTCATCATGTTCATAATATATTTTGACTGCATTGATTTTTAATTGATACCTTAATCAGATCAAACTTCTGGAAAAATAAGCTTCACAAGGTTAAGCTGGTGAAACCGGCCTGTAACTTAACATTTTTGACGTTAGCAATATCAGGGCTCCAGATAATTTTTCAACATCAGGAGAACGTACTCCTTATTTTTTCAATATAGGAGTACTGGAAAAACTTAAGAGTACATTTAGAGTACTGAATGGAAATTAGTAATCAGTATTCTTGTGTTTCGTTTGGTATATGCACCACAACATTGCTACTCTTGTGTAAACAGGTCAATAAACAATAAAACAATACCTTTTCATATAAATACGTCTGTAAATGATTCGTACACCATTGCTGTGGTGCGTTTCTGCTACGTTTTCAAAATTATTTCCTATCGTATCGTGCATATTTTTTGTCCATACATACGTCAGTACGGCCCTTATCTGGAGCCCTGCAATATTTTAAGACGTTTTCACACACTGCCCTGTAGTTTGTTGATTCTTTAACGCCGCACTCAGCAATATAGCAGCTATATGATGCTGTGAATAACTGAGTCTGGACCAATCAGTGACTGACATCATGAGCATTGATCCACGCAACTGGGATACAATGACAAGCATGAACCAAGTCAGTGAGCCTTACCACCTGATCCCCGTTAATCGCCCGTTACGACAAGCATGGGTTGCTGAAGACCAGTCCTACGAGTATCTTCTCATTCACTTATGATTGAGAAAGGAAGATGGGCTCGACCAAAAGTAGCTTTAGAAAATCGATTATGTCCTTTTTGCAAAAATGACATAGAGGATGAATATCATGTTATCATGGTTTGTCAAGTACTTGACATTTAGACGTCGCTACCTACCTCTGGACGTATACAAGTCTCCAAACATGATGAAGTTTATAAGTCTTCTACAAACTAAAGTTGAAGTATTAACCTTCAACTTAGCCAAATTTGTTTATCATATATTTCAGGTAAAGCAAAACTATAATCTGAATTATCCATGAATGTTTATTTCCTTCCTAGTGCTATCTTCTGTCATGAAAGGTCTTTGCAAGTGGGTTGGGTTGGGTGGGGGCATGGGGGGAGGCAAATGTTGGCAATGCGCTTTTGGAAGTATGTATGATGTAATTGTCATGTTGGCCTTTGGCCTATTAAAGAAATAAACAAGTAAACAAGTAAAAGTACTAAAACACAGATCTTCTGGAGTAACACTGCTCTATAACATGAGTAGGTTGCTTGGGACACAGATTATAACCTTGATCCCAAAAGCCGTGTTTCTGTCGGGACTGTTCTAATAATAAAATCTCATGGAAATCACAGTGTAAACTGTGGATGTCAAACTCTACCCCTATGTCTATGGAAACAGTCTGGTGTGAAATCATCACAATTAAGGAAACAAACAGGAAGGACCAGTAGATTCACTTCCTGTTGTGGTCAGGTGTCCTTGAAATTACACACATCAAGGCTTCATACCAACTGTTGTGTAAACTTACAAGCAGAAATGTTCTGACTATTGTGAAAGCAAATATTTTACATTTGGTATTGATAATTTTTGTCCTTGCTTAATCACAACAATAAAAACTGACATGGACAATCCAGTGACTAACATCATGAGCATGTATTCAATGCCATCAGTACAAAAAGGCACTTATCCATTTAGTCGACTGCAACAAGCAGAAAGTGGATGGACAAAGTCAGTTTCAAGTAGAGTATGGTTGGTTGGTTTGAAGACAAGAGTACAAAATCAGTGATATTCAGTAAAATGAAGCAAATCAAGCCCTGCTCATTGTAATTTTTTTGTATTGTATTCCTAGCCAGTTGGTTGGCTGTTGTTTACACTGCACTCAGCAATATTCCACCTAAATGGTGACGGGCTGTAAATAATTGAGATATGGACCAGACAAACTAGTGATCAACATCAGGAGCATCGATCTACGCAATTGGGATATGATCACGTGTCAACCAAGTTAGACTACCCAATCCCATTATTCGTCTTGCGACAAGCATGGGTTAAAGTTCTCCTGGGCTGGAAGCAGAGTATGAGATATGTAAGGTAATATCATTTTTTCCATCTTTGAATTTGTTTAGTACAAACTTGTTGAATCCAAGCGAGTGTGAATTGGAATTTAGGACGGAATTTAATTTGTTGAAGGCCATGAACTAATCATGAAATGTACAAGTTCATTTTGTCAAAATTGCCTTGACACTTCATTCAGACAACAGCTACAACCAACAATGTCTGGAATAAAGTATGTAACATGAAATTTGTTATTCAAACCACATTTTTGTATCCTAAATCGGCATTTTTAAAATCTATTTCTAAACTCGCTCTTTGACTATGTTAAATAGCTGTCAACAGTAACAATCTTATTTCGTCGATATTTGCTTTCAACTTAGTGTGTCTGTATTCTTTGTAGCACACATTCAGAGCCACCTACAAAAGCAAACGCGGCCACAATTCCATCACGCACGCACCACATGTTGCTTCGCTGCTTGTGAGACGTTCCCCAAGCAAAACCATACACGGCAATAGGCACGAGCGCGAAGGGTCATTCATGTAACACCCTCTAAATCTCCTAACTCGACATGGTTAGCTGAAGCAATCAACATATACGATAGACATTGATATCAATAATTAGTGTATAAATTTCAACAACACCGAATTGCTGCATAAACGGTAAATATATCATACGTACCTCTCTCCCCCATCTTCGAACACTTGACTGTCAGATTGGCCGGAAGTAGAATTCAACCAATCAACGTGTAACTTCCGATCACGTGCTCAGTATTTTGGGAATGCCTCTTCGACTGTCTGCATGTCTGAACGTAATGCAGTAATCTTTTCAAAGTACAGAGAGGAAACTTAAACATTCCTTACTCGGGGGAACAATCTTCGGGTTTTTTGTAAATAGAAAATGTATGGGGTATGAAGTCTGTTTGAAGTTAAATAAGATCAGCCTTTTTGGATTTGTACCTAAATCTGACTCGCTCAGAGAGGGAACGATCGTAAGTCATCACTAGATAGACTTTCGTTAGTCTCTTTAAAGTAACTGCTAAATTGTTGAGTTGTCACACCATTTTTCTTCTTTTTGAAACAATGAATGTATAGACTCAGTCTCTGCAGTCATTCGTGAGTGAGCAAATAAAAGGATAATGATTGAATACAGATTCTTATAAGTGAAGCTTATAAACATTAATTACCCAACCGATTTTGTTTTTTAAGTCGGCGAACATAAATTTTATTCAAGTATTCAATGTTTGCAGGGATAGAAAGGTGACAAAGCAGTTTATGAATAGCAGGTTCTTATACCACTATCTCAACATGCTCAAGCTGCCAACTGGCCTTCACTTTGCTTGATAGAAATGTTTCTTTCCTTAGGTTTGTCACAGAGCAGTCCTAAAGATTATTGTGTGTTTGGAATATTGAAGTGTGCTAAGTAGAAGCATGCTTTTTGTCTTGGGACTTGGTAAATACCATTTTACCAAGGCTAGATAATAAGCAGTTGTATTTTAGAAAGTTTGCTTAGAATTTGTGGAAAAGAACATGGAGGTATGGTTGCCTTGCTTAAATAAACATTGTCCGAAAGTGTTTAACAAGTACTTTTTTTCAGAGTGTGCCCTTTAGGCACCACGAATTTAGTTTTTAACTATGTTACTGACTCAAAGATATATAGAACCTAAGTCTGGTTAGTGATAAAGGAGAAACACAACTTTGTGTTTGACCTCAAAGACATAAACTACCTGTAGTATATCAGCAAATATGGTGGCCTAAGTAGTTTATCATTGCTAACTTTGAAGTTCAGAATATCAAGAAAATAGAGAGGTTGTACTGTTCATGTTCTCATCCCCATGAATAGCTGCAAACTGGCTGATACACCTTAACACAAGCATGTAGTCATTTTTTTAATGTATTTTGATGGACCTTGTTACAAAATACATAATTGTAGTATAACATAGTTTTCAAAAGTTTGTTTTAGAACTTTGTCGGGTAGTTTCATATTAGCAGTAAGTAATTACACAGGACTCAGTCTTTGGTAGTTCTTTTATTCTTTTGACACCACAGTGTTTACCATGTTACCATGGTTACAGAGTTTATTTACAACATGTTACTGTGTGTTGTTGAATGTTTTTACACCATGATTGATACTGACACCATGTTATTCTAGATGATGTGTTAAGGTGATGGTAGTCTCATGGGGATGAAAGCATCCTTGTCCCCTTGGTTAATGGTCAAAATACTATATCTTCTGAACTGCCACCTTTTGTCTTTCACTTGCTCATATGTTTTATGCGTCACCTAAATACAATTTGATCATATTGATGCTTCACAATATATATTTTCAAAAGTGTATTTTAAGAACTTGGGTTTTTAAAATTTATTGCAGGGTTATTAACAGCACCATGTCGGACAACAACACGACAGGACAGTGGATTGCAGAGCTGTTTCAGCCAGCGTTCCCCATTACGGTAGACGATGTTGCAGCACTGCAAGATGAGGGGCCGATTAAAAGCAAGATCAAGCGGGTGCCTGCTTTTGACCCCGAGGCCATTCAGAAAGTGTATGAGAAAGTCAGAGTTATGAATATTCTGGATGCGGAAATGAAACAACAGACATGGGACAGAGAGATAGCAGAATTATCAGGTGAGATAATAATAATAATAGCAATACATTGGTATAACACTATTTCTGCAAAAAATGAGTTTGAAATTGTTCTGATTAATGGATCAGTATTAATTATTTTCGTTATTCTCATCTCCCTGGGGAGTATACAACCCAGCTGAAGGATGTATGTATTCCTTCTTACCAAATTCTAAGCTATTTTTTAATTTTTCAATGAGATGATAAATGTTCTGTTCATCCCATACTTTGTCAGTAATGGTGGAAGAGTGACTCCATGAAGTTTCCATGAACTGGTCTTGAGGGACTATGCTTGTTGTAAGAGGCGACTGATGTGATCAGATAGTCGGGGTTGCTGACATGCTTGATGCGTATCATGTAGCAGAAAACAAAAACAAACAATTGGAAAATGCTGACTTTGAATCAGAAATTTCTCACATTAAGTTTGCTTGTAAGATAAACAAGTGTTCAACTTTAAGGGTGATCTTTGAGTGGGTTAGTTTTAACATTTAGGTTCAGTCAAGGATACCATTAGTTTCAGGTTTGGTTTGTATCATACAGGCTTTTTTTTATAAAAGCTTTTTTTCTTGACAGTAATTTGGGATAATTATTCTGAAACATATTTTGAAGAACATGCTTGTACTGAAGCTATTAAATGAGGTGGATAGATCAGTCAGAACTCTTCAGTACATGTGAAAGACAATACAGTTGAGCACCGTTGTGTCGAACTCTGATAACTCGATGTCTCTGTTGTCTCGATGTAACATCTCGGTCCTGGCAAAATCCTTCATAATTTATCATTATTCAAGCTCTTTTAATTTGATATGGATGTCTCTTTATTTTGGATGTCTTGATTTAATTTCATGGTTCCAACAAGCAAATTTACCCTTTTAACTCGATATTTGCAAAGAAACTCGATATTCACCTACCTTTCATGGGCAAGTATCCCTCTGAACTGAGGTTGTTTCCACACGTTTACACATAGTGCTGCATTAATCAAAGGGATGTGGTAGTGTAAACTAATTAGGGCTAATTGAGTTGAAGGTGTCACTTGTTTGTTATTTAAGTAGGATTAATTAAGAAGGAATTAATTAGGAAGTACTCACTGTTTCGACTATACACTAAGGCTGTTACGATTCACTCGCATATTCGGTGAATCGAACAGTAGCCCTTCATGAATTCAATTCGTTATTCGTGGTCACCAGAACCGAATATTCATAAATATTTACAATTTTTTTAAGGGAGTGTGTTTTACTTGAACCCTTATGTCCTTTTTCAAAAAGAGATTTGCAAGAATGCATTATTTACTATCCTTGTAGTAGCGCAAGTCATGTTAGTTTGCCAAGGGCGGACATGTTACTGTCAACTATAACTATTACACACCAAATTTGAGTGTCATGAGATGACTGGTTATTGCTGTGACAAATTAACACTGTCAACATGGGCTTTCCATATTGTGCATCAATCACTAACTACAATATTGTATTCGTGAATAATTATTCGTATTCGTTACCCAATATTCGTGATACGTATCATATTCGCAACATAGTGTATTCATTACAGCCCTAGTACTGATAACGGGTTATAGTTTTGTATCAAAACATACTGAGAAGCGTTTTGTTTTCTTCCATAGTGATATGTGATGATTTGCCCTGGTCGGATGTCTAGAAGTACAGATAACTCAATATTTTTTCTTGGTCCCATGAATATGGAGACAACGGTGCCCAACTGTATGTGGATATTGTACAAGAAAGAGCATGATAGTGCTTCATAGTCAAGAAGAGATCATCCTGCTAGATTAATAGATAGGGCATTTTGGGTCATTTTTTATCATTATATGACCCTTAAACATGATAGTCTTCTTCATCACCAGTTCTGAAAACAATCCGCGAGACTGAGGGTGACAGTCCATATCCTAGGAAACAGACACATTTGAAATCTTGCAACTTTTGGTGATCAAGGGGAGATAATCTAGAGAAATCTCTTCCTTTGAGCCTTCACTTCACTATTGTGTACATCATGTCAAGTTGTCATCTCTTGTTATATTGGTTTAGTTAAAACTTAAGTTCAGAAGATTTTAGCCATGTCTGCTTAGTGATGGCCTGACATTTTTACCTTTCTGAGATCTTAAAACAATGAACAATTCTTAAACAATTACTTTTAGACAGATGACATCAGCTGAACAGTTTAAATAACTTACTTCCATAAACTTCGGATTTCGCAAAGTTCTAGTGTGGTAACCTGATTACTGTATAAGCATATACCGCAGTATTTATGCAATCTTGAATGAACCAGTCATTGAGGTATGATGGAGACTCTTATTATCATCATTAACATTGGCCACAGACTGCATTCCGCATAACAAACTCTATACTCTGACTCCTTATCACTCATCATAGACTGACATTTATTGGAACAAAACATCAACATTTGTCTGGCATTTGGGGAAATTGTTTTCATAATTAATGCTTTTAAACCATTTTGAAGAGGACATAGAAATATCCACTTTTAGAAAGAATGTGTTTTGAAGTATTCACTTCCTGTTTCTGTATAAGTGAATTGCAAATGATTCCATGGAAGTTGGTTAGCTCACCAAGAAATGGTGTGCATCAACTGATAAGATAAGAGACCATGTCCGCAACAGTCTGCTGTTTCCTTACTGACTGTAATAGAAGAGAATGTGCAAGGCTTGATTTGCTTCATTTCACTGAATGATGTCACTGAGTTAGTACTGTTGTCTCCATTTATTGTGTGTTAATTATTAAATAGTCAGGATGTTTTATCCTGGCTTCTGCTTTAAAATATCCAAACACAACGTCAAATGACGTCACTCCATAAAATTTTCAAAACTTATTTGTTGCTTGTGTTGTTTGCAGCACAGAAAACTGAATCGCAGCCTGAAGAAGACCTTGGCAAGAAAGACACATTTGATGACAAAAAGGAAATTCACAAAGACTCGGAGTCGCCTGTTGATCTGAAAGAAAGCTGTATCTGGGACACTGATGAACTTGATGTCCTTCGAAAAGTTTACAAATCGGCCCGGGGAAGAATCCATGAGTTGGAGGTGGAAGTAAGAGAAGCTCAGAGAAGAAATAAACTTTTAGAGGATGATAATATAATGCAAACAAAAGCGCTGGAAGTAACTGAAAGTGGCTTTAAGGATGCTAAGAAGGCTAATAAGAGGTTGAAAATTCATTGTGATAACTTAAAGGAGCAGTTGGAATTTGCATCAGCAAAGGTGGATGCTGTGACGGAAATGTGGAAGGAAATCAGTGAGGAAAAGTCTTCCATGATGAAAGAAACTCAGGATCTGAGGATCCAGACTGACCGAGAAAGACTGGCTAGAGAGAGGCTGGAAATAAAGGTTGAGGAAGCAGGAAGGGAGATAATTCAGGAGAAGCAACTTGCACAAGAGAATGCTCGTGTGAAGTATGAAAGCATGATTTTCGGTCTCCAAAAACATGTGAAGTCGTTGTCTGAAGATCTTACCAAGGAGAGACAATCACATGATATTTCCAAGAAAGCGCTGACAAGTTTGAGGCACCATTTTGCAAGTCTGCCACTGCACGACATTATAGCCCCAAATGCAGTGCATGAAGATCAAGTGAAGAATATAGACTATCTCAGTTTGTGAGGGAAGAAACAAAGAGCATATCATTGTTCATATCTGTGATTTGTGTAATATATCTTGAATGTTTTGATTTGTTTCCGGCTTATTTATTGATGGTGAATTTATTTAATTAAGGGATTAAGGGTATTTTAAGGTATTTTAAGGGATTAAGGGTATTTTAAGGGATTAAGGGTATTTCCACATTCTCCCTCACCTGACTGAGGGGGAGTGTGGGTGCACCAGTTACACTATCACATCCAGAGATCAAAAGGCTTAGTTATTCATATTTTTGGGATCCCAAAGAAATGTTTTCAAGTCTTCGCATTCTAAATACTTGAGTGACATTGTATTTTAAAGCAAACTTATAGCAAAACTTTCAGGTATTCTTTGGTAAAATTATCAAAATTCTTTGGTAAATTCAAAAATCGTGCAGTACATTCAGCAGAAAAATATTGACTTGCCATGGTGATACAGCTTGCACATGTATATATCTGAGGTTGTAGTTCTCTTACCTCAGCATTTCCTTCTAGCCACTAGCAAACACACGTCTATACTTCCTGTTGGAAGGCAGTTCAATTGTGCCTTAAACTGTAGTAAAGTGTGACTTCCAATATACATTGGAGTTGTAGGTAAGGGGAGATCACTCCTGACAGAAGATATTTTGCATGAATTATATGGTGATTTTTTTGTGTCCACTGCTGTGAAGTTTTTCAGTTACACGACAGGTTGTAAGCCTTTTATGGGATTAAAGCTGGATGTGATACATTTTTGTAGACATGTACCACTTTGGAGTGCCCAACAGACAGAACTGTGCTCAGTGATTTACTACACCTTGGACTTAAACTAAAATGTCTACAATATTGCTAGTTTGGAAGGTGAATAGCAAGACCAGATCTGTAATAATCAACGAGCACATAGTATGAATCCCAAATCAGAGGTAAAACTTTAGGTAACCTCACTCGATTTTTATTATAAAGCATGTATCTAGTATACTAGGAGACTGTTATATCAGTATCTGTTTCCCCACTCAGCGATGTAGCAGCTCAGTGAGGGTGTCTGTAAATAATCGTGTTTAGACCTGACAATCTTGACATCAGCATCCATCTTGAATACATGTAGTGAGGGAGCTGGCCCTGACGCCCCTTCAAACAGTATTGGTTACATCTGTGTGGGCGGGTGGGAAACTGATGCAGGTCTCAGACTTCGATGAAACCTGGAGCATAGGTTTGGTGCTGACAAACCTAGACACAGAAACTGGGTGAACAAGGAAGCACATGTAGGTGGTACGATTGCTCGAAAAGTTTAATGTATAGAACAGGGTTTGTGATACAACCCATCCAGTAAATTTGGTATCACGATGTGATAAAAATGCAAATGGTGAGTGAGTTTAGTTTTACGCCACACTCAGCAATATTCCAGCTATATGGCAGCGGTCTGTAAATAATCGGGCTGGACCAGACAATCCAGTGATCAACAGCATGAGCATCGATCTGCGCAATTGGGATATGATGACGTGTGTCAACCAAGTCCGCAAGCCTGACCACCCGATCCCGTTATTCGCCTCTTATGAAAAGCATGGGTTACTGAAGATCAATATTCTAACCCGGACCTTTACGGGTAAAATGTGCAAATGAGGGCGACAAGTAGGAACTACTGTTAGTAAGATCTGAGATGTATGCTTGCTCAAACGCTTTCGTTTAGGGTTCCCTGAATGACTCAAGACAGTTGTTTCCTGAATGTGTGTGCTTATGAACAGACATAGCTACAAAACTACTAGCACTATATCGTAAGTAGGGCAGTTCACTCAAACTTTATATTCCTACGCGGTTTCTATACTCAGCAGCAAAAAAAAACCCCGTCAGTACGAATTCAAAATTAGATAGGCACTGTAATCAAATCATTACAGAAATGGACATAATAATTTAAGTGGATCAAAAACATGTTTTGTGTACAATATCCTGACACATCAATGAATAACTCTGCACAATTCCAAGACATTACTTGAACGTTTGCAGTCCATTCAGACTCTCTTGACTTCAGTATCTAGTGTGACCACCACGGCGGCAATAACTGCAGCACAGCGTCTATGCATGGAGTGCACCAATCGGTTGATGAAGGCCATTGGCACCTGGAACCACACTCTGAGAAAGGCCTGGCTCAATAAATCGGCTGTGTTCGGCCTTGGTATTACATTATTCAGTCTCCTCTGAATTTCATCCCAAAGATGTTCAATTGGGTTTAAATCAGGACTAAGGGCTGACCACTGCATAATGTTGACACCGTTGTCCTGTAGGAAGTCGCGTGTAGCTTTGGCAGTATGGGCCCGGGCGTTATCATGCTGGAAAATGTTCCGGTGACATGCGAAATGTGGTTTGACGTGGGGTCTGAGACCTTGGTCGATGTAGCGCACCGCTGTGATGCCACCTCCTCTCCCTGGACCAAGGTTCTGGAACACCACAGGACCCACTCTCTGGTTCAGGCCTATTCCACCATACCATGATAGCACCTCCCATTGGTCTGAGTAACGCTGGTCACGTCGTCGCCATATTCTTGTTCTGCCATCTGCAGTTGTTACGCAGTACCGACTCTCATCTGTGAACAGAACAGTTCTCCGTTGCCTGTATCGCCAGTTTTGGTGTTGTAGGGCAAACTGTAGACGTTCACGCAGATGACGAGGGGTGACGATAGGTCCTCGGTAAGGTCTACGGCAATGGCGGTTCCCGCTGTTAAGACGTCGGCGTACTGTATCAGTATACTAATTGGTCTTCCGTGTGTTCCCACTGTCTGGTGTGCTGTTTCGGATGCCTGCATGAAGGGATTCTGTACATGCTGTCTCACAACATGGCGGTCTTGTCTTGTGGTCACCCTTGGTCTGCCAGTACGGGGCGATCATTTGTGGTGTTGGTGGCCCGGAAACGTTGCTGCAGCCTGTAGATGGTCCGAACGTTGACCTGGAAGTGATCGGCAACGGCTTGTGCAGTGTGGCCATCTTCAAGTCTGCCTAGCGCCTGGTTCCTCTGAGCTGTCGTGAGTAGGGGCATCCTGCTGACGTAATGTGATTGTTTCAACCAGGTTTGGGGGTGCATTTTATAGGGCTGGTCCTTGTGAACAGCACGTGCAGCATGAGTTGCATGAAAAACATGGAGAACACCGTACCATCTCCAAGATCAGGTTGGTTTTTTTGGGACCATTTTCTGGGTTCCATTCTGGGAGTTTGGGAAGGGATGTCTTTGCTCAGGTAAAGTTGGAGATGTTGTCAAAAATATTCAATCAAAACATTAAATGAGTTTACAGTTATCCTTTTCAGCGAAGGAAAATTCCAAACTGACGTTTCTTTTGCTGTTTAGTATATATTTCTTGTAAACTTTGTATATTTTTAGACTTTTACCATCGTTTGTTTGCAGTAAACCTCATATATCAAAAACCCAGTCTAACCAAAGGCTTGCATATCCTAATTTACAAATTGTATTTTACGATACAATAACACAACCGGCTTATAATTTCTGTTTATCTCTCAAATCACTTTTTAAAAGAAAACTAAAGTGAGCCCACTCATAAAACAGACGTTGGCCTGGTTTTCCTGACAACCAAATACGTATACAAACATGTGTCAAAACACTCTCGGATAGTGGAATATATTTCACTGCAGGTGTTCGATGGCAATATCACGTGATTCCGCATATTCGGTGACAGCCAATCACAGCTTATATCCGTTGCACGAGATTTACGCAGCGCTTATTTCAGACGACAATTTGAGACAAGTTATTCCACGAATGCTGAAATATGATCTGAAAAAGAACTGTTTAGTCTGTGTATTCGAACTGGAATGTGGAGAAAGTTCAGTTTAACTTTCCGAGAAATGAATCATGTACTTTCCTGAAGTTTCCCCTATTGAATTGATAATTCTGACCAGGGACGTCATCGACAAGAAATCGAGCCCAACCTTTTTCGGGACTCAAAGAGAGGTTAGTTCACACCATTGTGTTTTTATTGGTTTAAGCGTCTGAAAATCAATATATATGTTTCTCTGCGAGTTGGTTTTAACGCTGTTATGACAGATGAACGAATGAATACTGCTTTACGCCGCATCATCAAGTTTCCAATCATCTGCTATGCCAGGTATTTCAGTCACGAAACTGCGTATGTACTTCGTGTTACACATGTCAATAATTAACTGTCAACGTTAATAAATTAAACTCCGGCCAGAACTAATTCTGCACCCAATTGGTATGGCGGCTGAAACAATGAAGAAATGTTCATTCGATAATGATGTGTCAAGATGATACGGATATCACAGTTGGATGTGGTTGGGAGTTTTTGCTGGGTTTTTCAAAGTTTCCCAAAAAAGAAACGCATATGCCAGAAATCTGTTGCGAAAATGTTGTATTTTCAAACATGTATAACTCGTCCACAAATAGACAAAATGAATTTTTACACCAGTTTAGAAGAAGGTAATGTCTATACAACCAATTTAAGTGGATACTTTTAGATAACGGAGACGCTGAACGCGATGGTGACGACGTAGCACGGTCCCTGGCTCTCAAACAAATCTCTTTCAACCTGTTCCGTACAGTTTGACCGGATATCCTCCGAAGTCCAGGCACCCTGGCTGCTGTGCTCTCACCCGTGGCACTACGATCACACAAATGTAGTACCCCGGATGTACCGATCTTGTGCTGCAGTGGTGACTCGAGGTCTGCCTGTACGGGGACGGTCATTTGTTGTACCTATTTGGTTGTAACGAGCTGCAATCCGTGATATCGTGTTCAGACTAAAACTCAGACGCCTGGCAACAGAAGATTGGTAATCTCCAGCGTGCATTCTTTCAATGGCGATGTTCCGTGTCGCAGAGTCAAGATGTGGCGTAGTGATTTGACCTTGAAACTCCTACAAAACGAATGCCAATTTCCGAAAGTAATCTGGATTGTTATTTGCCAGACAGTGCATGCTCTTTGCTGCACAATTTCAACTGGAAGGTTATCTCTGTAGCGTTGTGGCGATGCCTTTTTTAATCCTTGTAAGAAATCTCATCAAAATCCACATTTTCAGGTAATTTCGATTTTTACTTGTGCATTTGTGTAAAAGCACGTTATCAACACTTTTGTTACATATTTGACGATTGTTTGAACACAATAGGTAATTGATAGATGTTTAAAAATACGAATCGCCTATGCGTTTCTTTTTTTGGGATGTATATTTTGATAACGTAACCCGCCGAACAAATCAAACTCTAAAGTGTTTCTGTGGCCAGACAGTTATAGGAGCTAACGCTTATTATCTGCATGTGTATATGTAAAACTATTCGACTGACTGACTAAGTTTTTTGGTTTTATGCAGCTTTTAGCAATATTCCAGCAACATCACGGCGGGGGACACCAGAAATGGGCTTCACACATTGTACCCATGTGGGGATTCGAACCCGGGTCTTCGGCGTGACGAGCCAACGCTTTAACCACTAGGCTACCCCACCGCCCCTTAAACTATTTGAAGGTTGGAGAGTGTAGAGTATATATAAAGTTGTTTGGGAGGGTGAGTTTTGTTGTATGCCATTATAAACAGTTTTACAGTTAGATCACGCTTGTCAGTTTAGTGTGTTTGTGTGTGTGCATGCGTGCGTGCGTGTGTTGGGGTGGGTGTGTGTTTGTGTCTGAGAAGTTTACCACTTTGGTGAAACATGGGTGTACTGCTGACAAACCTAAAAACATTGTCGAGGCGAACCGGAAACCGTGTACTGGTAGAGTGAAACGAGAAACTGTCATCACTAGAATATGTCACTGTGGAAACCGTGTACTGGTAGAGTGAAACGAGAAACTGTCATCACTAGAATATGTCACTGTGGAAACCGTGTACTGGTAGAG